TGGGGCGGGGAGGGGGTTTGGGATGAGGAGGGGTTTTGGGATGAGGAGGGGTTTTGGGATGAGGAGGGGTTTTGGGATGAGGAGGGGTTTTGGGATGAGGAGGGGTTTTGGGATGAGGGGTTTTGGGATGAGGGGTTTTGGGATGAGGAGGGGTTTTGGGATGAGGAGGGGTTTTGGGATGAGGGGTTTTGGGATGAGGAGGGGTTTTGAATCCCGGGATAAGGAAGGATTGTGAATCCCACGATTCTGGGATAAAGAAGGATTGCAAATCCCGGAATTCTGGGATAAGGAAGGACTGTGAATCCCAGAATTCCCGGATAAGGAAGGACCGTGAATCCCGGAATTCTGGGATGAGGAAGGATTGTGAATCCCGGGATTCTGGGATGAGGGAGGATTGTGAATCCCGGAATTCTGGGATAAGGAAGGATTGTGAATCCCAGAATTCCCAGATAAGGAAGGACCATGAATCCCGGAATTCCTGGATAAGGAAGGACTGTGAATCCCGGGATTCCGGGATGAGGAAGGATTGTGAATCCCGGAATTCTGGGATAAGGAAGGGTTACTGAATCCCGTAATTCTGGGATAAGGGAGGATTGTGAATCCTGGAATTCTGGGATGAGGAAGGATTATTGAATCCCGGGATAAGGAAGGATTGTGAATCCCAGAATTCCGGGATAAGGAAGGACCATGAATCCCGGAATCCTGGGATGAGGAAGGATTGTGAATCTCGGGATTCCAGGATAAGGAAGGATTGTGAATCCCGGAATTCTGGGATGAGGAAGGACTGTGAATCCTGGAATTCTGGGATGAGGAAAGATTATTGAATCCCGGGATAAGGAAGGATTGTGAATCCCGGGATTCCCGGATAAGGGAGGATTGTGAATCCCGGGATAAGGAAGGATTGTGAATCCCGGAATTCCGGGATAAGGAAGGACTGTGAATCCCGTAATTCCGGGATAAGGAAGGACTGTGAATCCCGGAATTCCGGGATGAGGAAGGACTGTGAATCCCGGGATTCTGGGATAAGGAAGGACTGTGAATCCCGTAATTCCGGGATAAGGAAGGACTGTGAATCCCGTAATTCCGGGATAAGGAAGGACTGTGAATCCCGGAATTCCGGGATGAGGAAGGACTGTGAATCCCGTAATTCCGGGATAAGGAAGGACTGTGAATCCCGGAATTCCGGGATGAGGAAGGACTGTGAATCCCGGAATTCCGGGATAAGGAAGGACTGTGAATCCCGGGATTCCGGGATGAGGAAGCATTCCAGGCAGGCTCCATACCCTTCTCCAGGTACTCCTCCAGGCCCCTCCTGCGGGCGTCCAGCTGCTGCTCGGACAGCGAGAACGGCCACTTCCCGGGGAGGCGCGGGAAGGTGAAATTGGCGAATTCCCGCTTCAGGTTCTGGTGCAGGATGGCGAATTCCCGGTAGCGCTTGGAGCACAGCTGCCGCCCGGCCATGTACACGTTGTACACCTGGGAACAGCCCCAAAAATTCCCAAAAATCCCACTCGGATCGGGAGAGGGGTTTGGGGGAAGAGGGAAATGAGGCTGGAGCTGCGGGAGGTCACTGCTGGTCACGGTATTCCAGAGGATCACGAACGGCAAATCTTGGGATTCAGGATTGTGGATACTTCCCGTGGGACACTGAGAGATCCCAAACTCCCCATTTCCCACCCAGAGCCCCAAATTTTGGGATTTAAGTTCCTGGTTCCTCCCTATGGAATGCAGAGATCCCAAACTCCTCATGTTCCATCCAAAACTTGGGATTCAGGATCGTGGATACTTCCCATGGAATGCAGAGATCCCAAACTCCCCATTTCCCATAAAAAACTTGGGATTCAGGATCGTGGATACTTCCCATGGAATGCAGAGATCCCAAACTCCCCATTTCCTATCCAAAACTCCAAAACTTGGGATTCAGGATTGTGGATTTTGGGGAAAACTCTGCTATTTTGAGGAAGAATCCAGATATTTAGGGAAAAACCCCACTTTTTTGGGGAAAACCTTACTAATTTGAGGAAAAATCCAGATATTTAGGGAAAACCCCTGTTTTTTTGGGAAAAACCCTGCTTTTTTGGGGAAAACACTGCTTTTTTGGGGAAGAATCCAAATATTTAGGGAAAAAAACCACTTTTTTGGGGAAAACCCTGCTTTTTAGGAGGAAAACCTGGCTTTTTGGGGGAAAACACTGCTTTTTTGGGGGGAAAACTGCTTTTTGGGGAAAATTCTGCTATTTTGAGGAAGAATCCAGATATTTAGGGAAAAACCCTGGGGTTTTTTTTGGGAAAACCTGGCTTTTTTGGAGAAAACCCTGCTTTTTGGGGGGAAAACACTGCTTTTTTGAGGAAGAATCCAGATATTTAGGGAAAACCCCTGCTTTTTTGGGAAAACACTGTTATTTTGGGGAAAACCCCTGCTTTTTTGAGGAAAAATCCAGATATTTAAGGAAAACCCCTGTTTTTTTTGGGAAAAACCTAGCAACTTGAGGAAAAATCCAACTATTTGAGGAAAAACCCTGCAGTTGTGAGGAAAAACCCTTCTATTTAAGGCAAACCCCCACGATTTTAGGGCACACCCTGCTATTCAGTGCCAACAACCGCCACAAACAAACAAAACCCCTTGGGAAATGCCCCAAATCCGTGGATTTTCCCCCCATTCCCGAGGGGAAAAAGCCTCACCACGAACTTCTCTCCGCTCTGCTCCACATGTTTGTAGGTGGGGATGGAGATGGGCACCGCCTGTTTCTCGCTGTAGTCGTAGAAGGGCGGCCCCAGCGGCTCCTCGGGAGGCTCCAGGCTCTCGGCCTCGTGTGGCGGCACCGAGAGCACCGTGAGCACCAGCTCCTTCTCCCCGGCGCGGATCAGATCCACCACCTGCTTGTGCGTGGCTCCTTCCACGTTCACGCCGTTCCTGCATGGAAAAATAGCCCAGATTCCCATGGATCACATCCACCGCCTGTTTATTGGGGCTCCTTCAATATTCACCCTGTTCCTGCATGGAAAAATATCCCAGATTTTCATGGATCACATCCACCACCTGCTCATGACAGAGCCTTCAACATTCACCCTGTTCCTGCATGGAAAAATATCCCAGATTTTCATGGATCACATCCATCACCTGCTTATGAGGGAACCTTCCATGTTCCCCCTGCTCCTAAAGGGAACAGATCCCAAATTCCCATGGATCACATCCACCACCTGTTTATTTGGGCTCCTTCACCATTCTCCCCATTCCTAAAGGGAAAAATATCCCAAATTTTCATGGATCACATCCACCACCTGCTTACTGGGGCTCCTTCCACATTCACACTGTTCCTAAAGGGGAAAATATCCCAAATTTTCATGGATCACATCCACCACCTGTTTATTGGGGAACCTTGAGTATTCACCCTGTTCCTGCATGGAAAAATATCCCAAATTCCCATGGATCACATCCATCACCTGCTTATGAGGGAACCCTCCATGTTCCCCCTGCTCCTAAAGGGGAAAATATCCCAAATTCTCATGGATCACATCCACCACCTGCTTGTGCGTGGCTCCCTAAACATTCACCCCATTCCTAAAGGGAAAAACATCCCAAATTCTCATGGATCAGATCCACCACCTGTTTATTTGGGCTCCTTCCACATTAACACCGTTCCTAAAGGGGAAAATATCCAATTTCCATGGATCACATCCACCACCTGTTTATTGGGGCACCTTCAACGTTCACACCGTTCCTGCATGGAAAAATATCCCAAATTCCCATGGATCACATCCACCTACTTGTTTATTTGGGCTCCTTCCATGTTCACACCATTCCTAAAGGGAAAATATCCCAAATTCCCACGGAAGTGCTGAGGACATTCCCAAGCCACCTCCAGAGAACATTCCTGACATTCCCAACAGCCCCACGGCCTGGATCTGGCTTTGTCCAGCAAATCTGGATCCAACCTTGCTCAGGAAAACTCATCCCAATCCATCCCAAACCTCCCAGAATCCCATGGGAACACTGAAGATTCCTGGATATTCCAAGAACCCCAGGGCACGGATCTGGATTTGCCTGGAAAATCTGGATCACACCTGCTCAGGAAAGCTCATCCCAATCTGCTCCAAATTCCTGGAATCCCACAGAAGCACTTTAGACCAAAAACTCTCCCAAACAACTTCTGGAACATTCCTGATATTCCATCTGGCTTTGCCCAAAAAACCTGGATCACACCTTGGCCAAGCTGCCCAGGAAAACTCATCCCAAGCAATCCCAAAATATTCCTGAGAGCTCCATGGCCTGGATCTGGCTTTGCCCAGAAAACACGGATCAAACCTGCCCTGGAAAACTCATCCAAACCAGCCCCAAACTTCCCAGAAACACTGGAAAATCCCATGGAAACACAGTAAATATTCCCAAGTCACCTCTAGAACGTTCCTGACATTCCCAAGAGCTCCATGGCCTGGGTCTGGCTTTGCCCAGAAAACCTGGATCACATCAGCTCAGGAAAACTCATCCAAACCAGCCCCAAACTTCACAGAAACACCGGAAAATCCCATGGAAACACAGAAAATATTCCCAAGCCACCTCTAGAACGTTCCTGACATTCCCAAGAATCTCCTGGAAGGGATCCAGCTTTTCCCAGAGAATCTGGATCACACCTTGGCCAAGCTGCCCGGGAAAACTCGTCCCGGTGAATCCCAAAGCTCCCGAAATCCCAAGACATTCCTGAGCTGCCTCGGACACGAGGGATCCCTTCCACAAAAGTTGTTTGGAATTTCTCGTCGCGGTGACGTCACCACAGTCCCGATTCCCACCGAGGAATTTCTCCACCCAAAAGCCTGGAATTGCCCTGGAATTCTGTGCTGCTCCCAGGATCCAGAGTGGGATTTGGCCATCAATCCCCAGCTCTTGAAGGGAAGGGAACAGCTTTTTTTGGGATGAGAGTTTTTGGGATGAGGGATTTTGGGATGAGGGATTTTGGGATGAGGAGTTATTTGGGATGAAGAGGGATTTGGGGGGATTTTTCCATTTTTATGGAATTTTTCCTTACAGGAATCACCCTGGAAAGGTCAGATCTCTGCTTACAAATCCAGGTATGAAAATTCCAACTTTTCCAAGAGCTGGAAAAGTTTCCTCCGGCTCCAACACTACCCAAGGCTATCCAAACCCGTTGGAGCTTCCGTATCATTCCAGGGAAAAGGGATAATAGAGCACTCGGAGGGGCAGGACCCAGAATTCCCAAAAAGGCATCACTCCATTCCCAAAAATGCCGGCTCCCAGAGGGTGTTCCCGAGCTCGGATGCTTCCCTGCTGGTGTCTCCAAGGAGCAGGAGTCAGAACTTCGGGATAAATCACCATGGCAACCGAGGCCGGAATCCAGGAATGTTAAATCCAGGATCCGCGGGATCCAGGAGCCTCTTCCCAAGAAAAAGGAATGCTGGGATGTTTTGCTCCTCAAGCTTCTGGCTCTGTCTGGAGCTGGAAAATGGATCCAGGCATTGCTGGGATCCTTCAGGGAATCCAGGGAATGCGAGGTCCCTCCGGAAAGGACATCGAGATCCAAGGGGCGACACCCGATCCAAGGGATCCTTCCCGCTGGGAAAGCGGATCCGCAGCCTCTTCCGTGGGGTGGGAAATGGAGGAGAGCCATTCCCAGCAGCATTCCAGGAACAACTTCCTCCAATAAATCCCTTCTTTGGGAATGTGGAAAGGTTCCACCCGGAGTGGGAGGTACCGGCACATCCCGCTGCAGGATGGGGGAGCCTCCTTCCCCTTCAATCCAGAGGGATTCAATGGAGCTGGAGTTTGGATTTCTCATGGAATTCCTCTCCCAGGGGCTCACAAGTGTTCCCACCACTCCTTTTCCAGGGAGCTGGGAAGAAGCTCCTCAGCCCAGCGCGATATTCCCTGGATGCATCGGAGACAGCGGAAAACATCTCATCCACCAGCTGGGCTGGGATCCGGGAATTTTCCATCAGGAGCTGCTGGGAGATCCTGGGATCTGGGAATTTTCCGCCGGGAAGAGCAGGAGCTGCTGGCAATGGCTGGAGATCCTGGGATCTGGGAATCTTCCATCGGGAAGAGCAGGAGCTGCTGGAAAAGCCTGAGGATGAAGCAGAACTCCCATCACACTGACACGGATGAGCAAGGGCCCCATGGCACGGAAAACATTCCGGGGTTCCCGTTCCCACTGGGACTGAGTCATTTTCCACCAGGACTTCGGAAAATTCCCTGACCCGGGGCCTATCAGGGGAATTCACTGTGAGGAACTGGGCAAGGAGCATCCTGGAGATGGAGATCCTTGGGACTGGTTTGCTGAAGGATCCGAGAAATTCCAGAGGAAAGGGAAGGGATGGGGAAAGGAAGGAATGGGAAAAGGAAGAGGAATCAGCTGGTGATCAGAAGGACTTTTGCTTCCACTTCCAATCCACTTCCTAAATTTTCCAAGAAGATCCCCCCTCAGAGCCTCTGGACAAGGAAATTCCCGCTGCCATTCCCGAGGTGAATTCCCAGCAGCGCCTCTGGCGAGCAGAACACCGGGAATGTGCCGAGCCAGCAGCTCTGGCACTGAGACCATTCCGGACTTCTCCAAGGCAGAGCCGGCTTTTCCCATCCCATAAAACAGGAACTGAGCCCACGGAGAGAGGGAGAGTCCAATCTCCTCAGGGAAAAGCCTTCGGCCTCGCACACGAATATTGGGAAGACGCCGATTCCGAGGGTTATTCCAGCAAAACCTGACACCTTCCCAGGGCTGCGCCTGTTCCAGACGTTTCCCTGAGTCTGGTGGGATCCAGGATCCCCCAGCCCACCCAAATCCGGCTGTTTTCCCACTCAGTGCCAGGATAAATCAGATAAATCCCTTTTTTCTCTATTCCGTCCTTTCCAGAGCTTCTCTTCCCGGTGGACTGGTGATGATGGAGATTCCAGCACTAATCAGGAGATCAATTAGCTCCCCTTGTCTGTCTCGGTGGCCCTGGAGATTCCGGAGCATTCCAGAGCCTCGGGATGACAAAGGGATTTGCTGGGTGCTGGATCCGGGAGGGAGGGATGGGAAAAGGACCCGGAGCAGGCGCAGGAGCATCCAGGCAGCACCTGGAGCATCCGTTGGTGTCGGATGAGGATCGGGAAGAGTGGTTTTTTTCCATGGGAAAAACGCTGGGATGGGTCATCTCCGGGGTTTTCCGGGATAGGGATGAGCTGTGGGGTGCCAGAGCCACAGGTGAGCACCCACATCCCAAAGATCCCCCACAGATCCCAGCGGGAATTCCACGGCGCTGGAACAACCTCCTCGCTCGGGCTCTTCCTCCCCAAAAATTCCCCTCCTCGGAGCCGATCCGCTGGGAATTCCAGGAGGTGGGAAGGCAATCCTGCATGGAATAAACACCCTGAACATCCCAAATCCACCCAGGCGCCTCCTCCCGGAGCTCCAGGGCCTGGATTTCGGGGAGTTCCCTCCGGAGGAACCGGGATGGCTGGGAGAGCGGATGGGCCCCCCCCGTTTCCCGCCCTGTTCCCGGTGAAAGGAAGGGAAATTGGAGCTATTTTGGGAATCCCGGGTTATTGTTTCCTCCTCCGGCCGCGGCGCCGCCGTGCAATTCCAGGAGTTGGGATTTTAACGGATCCGAGGAAAATCAGGGTGCTCCGGGGGTGGGGGGGTTCCATGCTGCTGGAATGGAGCCTGGGATTTTGGGGTGGTTTCTGCAGCAAAAGATGGGAATGCTGGAATATGGGAATTTGGTTGTGACGGAATATAGAAAAATATTGGAATATAGGGATGTTGGATTATGGGAATATGGGTATATTGGAATATAGGGAAACAGGAATACAGCAGTGTTGGAATAGCGGGATATCGCAATACTGAAATACTGGAATATCAAAACACTGGAATATTGAAACATAGGAATACAGAAATATTGGAATGCAGGAATACTGAAATATAGGAATATTGAGATATTGGAATATTGAAATATTGGAAAACAGGGCTATTGGGAAATTGAAACATTGGGATACAGGAACACTGCATTATTGGAATACTGGGATACAGGAACACTGCATTATTGGAATATTGGGATACAGGAACACTGGATTATTGGAATACTGGGATACAGGAACACTGCGTTATTGGAATACTGGGATACAGGAACACTGGATTATTGGAATACTGGGATACAGGAACACTGCATTATTGGAATACTGGGATACAGGAACACTGCATTATTGGAATATTGGGATACAGGAACACTGCGTTATTGGAATATTGGGATACAGGAACACTGCATTATTGGAATATTGGGATACAGGAACACTGGATTATTGGAATATTGGGATACAGGAACACTGCATTATTGGAATACTGGGATACAGGAACACTGGATTATTGGAATACTGGGATACAGGAACACTGCATTATTGGAATACTGGGATACAGGAAGACAGGAATGTGGCAAGAACCTGGCAGCCCTAGAGGACACAGGGGCAAATTAAAGCCACTTTTCCCAGAAAATAAGTGGATAAACCAAGAGGAAATTCCCAATCCTTCCAGCTCCCATAGGGATACCAGGGATTGAGAGAGCACGAGCAAACCCCCTCATTAACCATCATTAACCGCAGGGATTAATTATTTCACACACCATGCCCCAGTCCTCACCTGGCACCAGCCACTGAATCCCAAAATTCCAGCACCAAGCTCCAAACCTCACTCTCATGCCAAACTCAGCGTTTTAAATTGTTCCCCAAAACACCCAAAAATGAGGGAAAATTTCACCCCAATGCCCACAAAACCCTCCCCCCTCGGCCTGGGAACGCCGCTCCCCCAGTTTGCTCATCCAGGTGCAGAATTCCCCCCGCTCCCAGCGCTTCTCCCGCAAGGAAAAAATCAAAGAATCGGGAATTTGGGTCAGCTGGGACAGAGCCAAATCCCAGCTGGGATTTCTGCAGGATTCACCGGCCATGGGCAGGTCCTGACAGCTCCTCACACCCCTTGGACTTCCAGAGCTGGCAGCAAAACATTCCTGCAGCTCGGAAATCCCTGGAATTAATCAGTAATTGGACTTAACCAACCCGGAGCGAAGTGCGACCGAGGGAGGATCCGGAGGGATCCCTGAAAACCAGCCCCCATGCTGGGATTTGAGGGATTTCAGCCCAAAAACAGACACAAAGTTTAAGGTTTCTTTGGGGGAGAAAGGAATTTCCACACAGCAGGAATATTAGGAAGATTTCCATGGGAAGGGGTTTTCTGGGTCAAAGCTACAATTTTGGGTGTCAAAAAGCAGCAGTTGGAGAACACAAGATCCAGGAATGAGAAGCAAGTGACTCCAGGCTGGAATCCAAGGGATTTAGCCCTAAAAATGCTCTCCTGACCTCCCCAGAATGGTCCTCACATTGAAATCCAAGGGGTTTAATCCCTAAAAATGCCCCCTGCCCTTCTCTAGCAATCTCCAGGTTGAAACACAACGGGTTTATCCCTAAAAACGCCCCCCAGGAGGGTCCCCATGTTGAAATCCAAGGGATCCCCCTTCAGAGGCTCCTGTAAGATCCCCCAAAAACCCCCAGCGAGGGTTGGGGGGCTCATCCCCCCCTCCTCAGGACTCCCCAAGTTCCCACCAAGGGCTGGGGGTCTCACCCTCTCCTCATGGCACCCTCAAACCTTACCAAGGGACCCTCAGTCCCCTCAGGACACCCCAAAACTCCAGCAAGGGCCAAGGGTTCAACTTCTCTCTCACCCTCAGCCCTGTCAGGACCCCCAAAGACCCCCTCAAACCTCACCACACTCTCACCAAGGGACCCTCGGCCCCCTCAGGATCCCCCCAAATCCACACCAAGGTTCGGGGGCTCATGGCCCCCTCACCAAGGGATCTTCAGCCCCCTCAGGATCCCCCCAAATCCACACCAAGGCTCGGGGGCTCATGCTCCCCCTCACCACACCTTCACCAAGGGACCCTCAGGACCCCCAACTTCACCAAAGTGTGCTCAGCCCCCTCAGGATTCGCCCCAAATCCTGCACTAAGGCCCGGGGGCCTCAGTCCCTCCTCACAACACCCTCATCACACGATCCTCGGCCCCCTCAAGACCCCCCAAACCCTCCCAAGCTCCGGGGTTCTCCATCCCCATCATGACACCGGCACCAAAGGACCCTCAGAGCCCCCTCGGCACCCCCAAGAGTTCAGCGTGCCCTCATGCAGGGCTCCCTCAGCGCCCCCAGAGCCCACTCAGAGCCACCTCAGCCCCCTCAGAGCCCACTCAG